ATGTCAAAATTGGAAAGGAAAAGGGAGCGCAGCGCATTTAGACGAAGCAAAAATTATGAAGACGGGTTCATAGCGATTGTTTGAAGTGGCTTTTGAAACCTGAAACGAAGAAAGATTGTTTGAAGTTGTAGCTTGGTCTACGGTGACTCAAGTTTGTGAAATGAATTAAGTAGACACGAATAAGTTACAGACAACGAGATTGTCAAAAATTCTAGGGAGGTTTAACAAAACATTTCCGGTACTGTTCATTTTTAACGAAAAACCACATTTATACCTTTCCCTAATACTATTCACTATACCTTTAAAAATGGATTTTCATTAAAAGGGAAGGTTTTTTGGACTTTTCGTTTGTTTTTCTAAAATTCTACTGTGCTTTGTGGTATCAAATCCCTGATGATTTGTACAACACGGTCTTTTGTGTTATTCACGTCAATCAAAACCTTACGTCTGTGTTTTCTTTTTCAGATAATCTAAACGTATGATGAAGAGATTGACAAGGCTAATGACAAATATATTACAAGTAGGCATCTAAAGCCATACCTCTAGCCCAGAGGTTTTTCAATGTATTGGGAACAAGGTTTGGTAGACTAAGTGTAATTTTACACTTGGCTGAAAACTTGGAAGGAAACAAAATTCAACCAATTATATTATGATACTGGTATACCGGGTTGTGTTCCCTATACTAATATTTTCTCCTTCTAGCCAACTCATTGAACATTTGAGGAGTTGACGATGCAAAGGGCCACAGAGGAACCCCCTCATTCCCCTGGAAGATAATCGAATAGATGGATTAAACTAAAAATATACTATTTTAAATAACCCCAGATAACTCTATCATGAGGACTTGACGTCATCCTCACCCCTTTCCGGCTTATCATTGGCAGTCCGCTCATGATTCCAAACTCAAAGGTGTTAACTAAACACGGGGATTGCGTTCATTGCGGGACTTAACCGATGTCGCTAACATGCATGATGGCAAATATTGCCTGCAATAATTAAACCACAATTTGTGGACTAATCTATTTATAAGCATAAATATATTTATATTTTTGTCCTTATTGCACATGACACACATCCCGCTGACCGCTAGGGCCGGAAATTGTGGCAGCCACCGTCATTGGTGTCGGAAAATTAAAATTTATATACATCACTCACTCAATCAACATCACTGTTACGCAGGCCCTTACGTTTACTTATCCTTCTAGAAGTGGAAGATGACTCGCTCCGCTTACGACTCCACGAACCACACCACCACCATCCATCCTGCTCCCTCATTTGAACAAACTGCCTCCATTCATATCACACACACACACACACACATATATATACACGTCTCTCTCTCTCACACAAACGCACACAGAGACACTCTCACTCCTCACTTTGCAATTCAGACAAAAACAACAACCGCAGTTATCAAGCAATGGCAGGAGTAGTGAGGAGGATCAAGTTGGGATCGCAAGGCCTGGAGGTTTCGGCTCAAGGCCTTGGCTGCATGGGTATGTCCGGCCACTACGGCCCTCCGAAGCCCGACCAAGACATGATTACTCTCATCCACCACGCCATCGACGCCGGCGTCACCCTCCTCGACACCTCCGACGTCTACGGCCCCTACACCAACGAAATTCTTCTCGGCAAGGTAAAGTTTTGTCTGACTTTTTTTGTTGAATTTTAAAGTTTCCAATCTTTTGTATTTGCTCATCGTACTGAGAACACAAACAAGATACAAATATATAGGGGAGTTTGAGTGAGTTGCAAACTACACTCAACACTCAAGACCCTAATCTAGGACTCCTTGAATCACGCTGAGGAGCCGGCAATCCAAGGAGATGACAATCAGATAAGACCTTTATACAAGTTAAGAACAACAAGAAGAAAACAAACGACTATTAACTAGGTAAAACACTACTAGGGTTGACACAAACCCTATTACCCAGATAATACCGAGAAACCCTAATCCAGAGAGACCCTAAATACCCAGAGGACTTTCAATATTTTTGCTCACAAGTCACAATCACAATCAGTCACTCTGAGTTTCTGTTAGCAACTTTTGGGTTTGGAATTGTTTGGATTGATGATGAAATGAACTGGGTTGGCTTCATTGTTGTTCTTCTAGAGAGAGAGAAAAAGAGAGTAGAATATAAATTTTAGGGAGTTTTAACGAAAAACTTACGGTATTGTTCACTTTAACGAAAAATTACATTTTTACCCTAAAAAGTCAATCATGGTACTATTTATTTACCCTTTATTTTATCCTTATCATTAAAACTCAAAGTTTTCAAGTCTTTTTCATTAGTTTTCCTTAATTTTACTTTGTGGGTTTTGTTAGGATTGTTGAATGGAATGAACTGATGATCAAGTGCATTGGGTTCAATCGATTTACTCTTGTTCCTGTAGTGAATTTATATGTATTTGCTTTGTGGGTTTTGTTTGGATTGATGTTGAATTGAGTGGACTAATGATGGAGTGAATTGGATTTTGTTGGTTTAATGAGGAGCAGGCGCTCAAGGGAGGGGTGCGAGACAAGGTTGAATTGGGCACGAAATTTGGTGGCAGCTCTGTGGATGACAAGTGGGACGTTCGAGGTGACCCTGCGTATGTGAGAGCTGCTATTGAGGGTAGCTTGAAGCGCCTTGGCATTGACTCCGTTGATCTCTATTATCAGCATCGCGTTGACACCCGTGTCCCTATTGAAGTCACGGTTTGTTATCTTCACTCACTAAGTTTTGATCTCCTTTTAATTGCAATTGCAGAACAATGTGGTTAACAACTTCATAGAATATTATGAACTAAGAAAACATGACAGATGTATTTGTAAGAACGGTACTCGAAGAGAACCAACTCTTATCCAGCGTGAGTAAGCATCTGCATTTTCAGGAAGTTATTTGGAGATTTACGATGTCTTCTATCATTTTAACAAGTCACATATTTTATCAATTCGTCAACTTGATTCCGTTCGTCTCCAAGTCATGTATTGTATCCAAATTAGTTTAAACAAACCACTGTATAATTGCTTTTTTTTACTAGAGTGTTTGCATCATGATTCCTTAAATTTCTTTATGTCTTTACAAGGTTGGGGAACTCAAGAAATTAGTTGAAGAGGGTAAGATAAAGTACATTGGTTTATCCGAGGCCTCAGCTTCCACAATAAGAAGAGCACATGCTGTTCATCCAATAACAGCAGTGCAGTTGGAGTGGTCGTTGTGGGCTAGAGATGTGGAGGAAGATATAATTCCAACTTGCCGGTGAGGCTTAGCAGGACTTATTAATTGTTTTATTAAGGAGGTGGCAATAGATGTTAATCTTGTTTTCCTATTTTCTCAGGGAACTTGGCATTGGTATTGTTGCATACAGTCCTCTAGGAAGAGGATTTTTTTCATCAGGCGCTAATTTAGTCGACAATCTAGCCAATGATGATTTCCGAAAGGTTTGTCGATATGCACATTAGAGAACATTGTAGCATCCTCATGCTATTATTGTGAATATCCTTATGTCCTCAAATTATGAAATTACATTGTAGCATCCTCGTGCTATTATTGTGAATACCTTAACTCCTCAAATTAGGAATGATCTCACGAAGTTTAGTAATCTCTCCTAGCAGGCTATCCTCTTGCGGAATCCGTGCAGTAAAAATTTGATTTCTAATTTAAGTAGCGAAGTGGACCTGATTTGTTTCGACATTAGAGGTATAAACATCCTTAATATTATCATTTTTGAAGGTTATGTGTTCATCCCAGTTAGATTAATAGTTTAGTGTCAGGCGAACCTCCCTTAATTGATTTATTTACTACAATCCGAGGAATCTGTGTTGTGTTGTTACAAAGTTATGTTGTACATGCTTATGAAGGCGTATGAACTGTGCTGGCCCTTTATCATGTCATTTTGATAAAGTCATTAATCCTGTTGCTTATATATGTGGTTTATTGGTTGCAGTATCTACCCAGGTTCCAAGCCGAAAACCTAGAGCATAATAAAACAATATTCGAGCGGGTTAGTGATCTTGCAGCAAGGAAGGGGTGCACGCCATCTCAGCTAGCACTGGCCTGGGTTCATCACCAAGGGAATGATGTGTGTCCCATACCCGGAACCACCAAGATTGAGAATTTTAACCAGAATATTGGAGCTCTGTCTGTGAAACTGACACCAGAAGAAATGGCCGAGCTTGAATCTTATGCTTCAGCCGATGCCGTTAAAGGTGACAGATATATGGATGACGCTTTTACTTGGAAGGACTCCGAAACTCCGCCACTGTCTTCATGGAAAGCCGCATGAGTATGTGCAGTGCCACTGTCGTATTAGTGATGTCTCTTTGTACTTTACGCTCTTCTGAATTTCCTCGTGTTTCCGAGAATAAGTAGTGTATGCTACATTGTATGTAATTGCTTTCTTTGAGACAAAAACATTTGGTATATTTCAACGTGCTGTTTGAGTATCAAAACTGGCAACTCTTTCCCACTTTAGGAAATGATTTGAAATATTGCTCGCATTGCTGTGCGGGATTAGAAACTGTACGAAAAAATATGTTTCAGAAGGATAAAAGATTGTTATAGATAGTTAATGTTATTTACACTGAAATATGGCTTTAACTTATTGAAAGAACTTTTGCATGAAAAGTATAAATTGGTACAACTGAAAATGAAGAGTTTAATCAAACTTCATGAGCCTAATTGAAACAAATTAATACCTTGACTAACAAAATGAACCGAAAATGAAAACATCTAAACCAACATTATGAAACTTGTGGAACACTATGAAAGAATATGAAAACATAAATTTTTTTTATTTAAAATTACTTTAGCCGTTCGATTTAAATTTGGACCATTAGATTTTTTTTTTTTAATTTTTTTTTTTTACCGGTGGTTTTGATCATATTAGAATATTAGTAGTTGGATTTAATGAATTTATAAATATTAAATTAAAAAAAAAAAAAGCTAATGAAAAATGCTTGAAAACTTTCAGTTTTAATGATAAGGACAAAATAAAGGGTAAAGTGCATAGTATTGACACACCCCGTCCCGAAGGAGGGCATGCTGGCCGTCACGTGAGAGTGACGTAACCATTTACACAGTACGGAAGCTTTAAAGATACAATTTCTAAGATGAAACACCCAAAAGTGAGTCCTAATTTTTGTCCATTCTGTCAGAACACCGTTGGATTCCTCGTAGCCACCAAGCTCTGATATCTTAAACCTGGAGGGGCGCAAAACAAAGTTGAGTGGGTCAGTAAAACAAACTTATTCAAAACCTTCTTTTCTCTTTGAATATACTAACCCCTCGCCGTAAAACAAGTATACTTCCCAGAAAATAAACATATATACTTATGTATAGATATGCCAAACATGCTCAAGGGTATATCATTCATGCTCAAGAATATGCCATGTCGGAAACTCATAATGAAATGTAAGTGCTCAAGCATAACTCATATCAATAACATATAATCTGGCAGCCGGGAGTCACCTAACGTGACCTGTACGGCTGCATATAGAGCTCCAATCTCAACTCAATAACTGAATCTGCACACGAGTCGGAACCACCTAACGTGGTCTGTACGACAGGCTTGGTGTAATATATATACGCTCTAGTGCTACGATCACGTGAAGCTGTGCGATCAATCGCGGGTCACCTACGAGTCGGAACCACCTAATGTGGTCTGTACGACAGGATGTGCACCTAACTTGGATCCAAGCTGAGCGTGTGGTGCGGGAGGTGAACATCACGTGAAGGCTATGCCCTGGCCACGGGCGGGAGCACTAACACCGGGGGTGCAGATTATGAGCTCTCTAAGCATCTCAAGCTACTACTGAATACAAACATGAATACCACTTACCTGGCACTTACCTGTGCGTCCACTGATGCGAGATTTACTTGACACTCAAATTAAACCCTCGTTTGACAATTGTAGTAGAATGGATAAGTGAGGGATCGTTCTAGACCGGGGATTAGGAGGGCTTGCTAAAACCTTCTAAATTGACTTAAAAACGTAAAAACAATATAAAACACTAAACTAGACTCAAAGAATGCAAAACTAAAATTTAAAACATTAAGACAAACCAAAAGACTCAAAACTAATTTTGGATGAATTTAAGATTATGGCTTGATTCAAAATACTTTAAAACATAAACTAAACAGATTCTAAGCACTAAAGAACAAGAAAGTAAAGGGGGGGGGGAAAAGTTTTGATTTGACGAAAATTGAAATAACAAAATAAGTTAATAAACTAAGCGGAATGTAAATATGAATTTGTGATGGAATGAATGGAATGAAGGCTAGCTAAGGGGTTCTTCTCCACACATGTTATACTTGCATACAAGATTGATTCTCAGTTGGTCTTTCGATAAATTATGAAACTCAACACTCCGGATTAATTAGGTCCGCTTAAATTAACCGTCAAGTTTTCCTTGAGTTAATGAATTGGATGGGTTTGCGCAACGCAATTCACAACATTCTCCAAAAGTTCTTTACGTGAACAGCACAATAAAGATACAATCAAAGATCATTAAGCATTATGAAAACTATAAGTGTTGACGAGGCATTCGTTACTATGATGAGCATGAAACTCGTGCCAAGAATTCATTTAACGCGATTGTTTATAAGCAACCTCCACTACTTGTGAATATAAGTTCATAACGATTAGGTGAAATTCACTTATATTCTAGCGTCATATTTATGCATGAAAATTAAGCGCGCATTCTTAATAAACATTCATAAATAAGTTATCAATCAAACGGTTAAACAAATTGAATCCACAACTTATGAAATTCCAACGAAAGTTAATCAATTCATATTGCAAATATAAACATAGTTTCGAATCACCCCCTAGCTAAAGGGGGTTTAGTTCCTCATAACTTTGAAATCAAAGAAACACCTAAACATTCCAACAACTCAAAACTTGAATTGTATGAACGTTTAAGCACTCTTCTCTTCCATTCCTTATACGTACAAAACAAAGAGAATTAAAATGAAACTTTGAAATCAAAGAAACACCTAAACATTCCAACAACTCAAAACTTGAATTGTATGAACGTTTAGGCACTCTTCTCTTCCTCGTTGTTGTAGCACAAGGTTTAAGGATAGGTTGGTTGGGGGAATGGAAGTGTGGAATGGAGTGGAAATGGAGAAGATGGAGAAGGGGAAGTGTTTGTGTATTACAATGGAAAATGAGATATTTGGTGAATGGAATGAATGGGTATTTATAGGAAGAGAATGGGTGTTAATGGATGTTTGTTTAAGGTATTTGGTGGATGGGAAAAGGTGTGGATGGTGGGAATTATGGTGGATGGATGGTTTAGTGGATGTAATTTAGGGTTTATTTAGGTGAATGTGGATGCATGGTTTAGTGGATGTAAAGGATAATGGGATGGTGTGGAATTAAAAGCTAAAAAAAATGGGATAATGGGCATTTAAGTGTGAATGGAATGGTGGGATGCACTAATGGAAATTATGGAATGGAATGGAATGGTGGGATGCACTAATTAGGAGGAACAATTAGGGTGAAGGGCTTAATGCATGGATTTGGGCCAATTAGGGTGAAGGGCTTAATGCATGGATTTGGGCCTAAAATGCCCCCCCTTGCATGGCAAGGGAAAGGACTTGGGCTAAAGCCCACGGCAATGGCTCTAAAATGGGCTAAGGTTAGGGTTTAGGTGCGGCATAGGCTTAGGGTCCACAAAGAGTTAGGGTTTAGGTCATCTAAAAGCCCAAAGCCAAGAATAGAAACTCACGACAATGGAAACCTCCAAGAATAGAAACTTCCAACTTTAGAAACTTTGGTTACCAATTCCGACTTCCTTGCTCTTCACTTTCATTTCTTCATTTCTTAAGCTCCTTTGACCTTCAACCTCGTTCATTCCTCGTGCTCCATTTGCATACACCACATTCCAGCTCAGTTTTGCTCCAAAAGCTCCCAATTGCATCATTTCATGTAATATGTCCTTTAAACCTGAAAACACATGAAAGTAGCTTAAAAGACTACTTTAACGAATAAAACATAACAAAAATGCATAAGAACTAGCTAACTAAGGCGCATAAATATGCTCCTATCATCCACAGCACCAAATACGCATATATAAATGTATGCCACTACTAATGCATGTGATGATAGTATTTCAATCGTATTCCAAACGTATTTCATACGTATATCAAATGTATTTAGTACGTATCTCAAATGTATTTCAAGGTATTTCAAATGTAGCTTACCTAGGCCTCCTCAGCACCATGCAACAGTATGCATAATTATGGTAATGCACATATTAAAATATGATGCATATATGACAGGATATTTAATTCGTATTTCTTTTAAAATACGTTTTCTAAGAAATACGTCAAGCATACGTATATATTTATATACTGAAAAATAACTGCCCACTCACTGATCACATCGACGTCTCGTGGGTCCCTGAGCCTCCCCTAGATTGGTTACATTCTTCTTCTGTATAATTTTCACCTATACAAAAAGTAACCAAATTATCGTTATTTAACGCGCATACACCAAACATTCGTCAATAACTTTCTCATACGTTGCTCGATTTGAGTGTGTGAATATACCACGGTGATCTACACGACGTCACGAACACGTGACAATTTTCAGAACGCAATTTGGAGCTCTCACGCGCCTCCACGCGCCCAGTCTACGCGCTGCCCACGCGCGCGTCTTCTTCCTCGCGTCGCCGGACTGGTTTCGCCGGAGGTGGGTGTTTTGCCGGAATTTCTGGGTAAACTTCAAAGTGTCATAACTTCTTCATTTCTTAACCATTTTCGACGTACTATATATCAAAATGAAGGTATTGACGAGACGAACACATCAATACCTGCCTCGACCCCTAACTCGCCGTGGATTCGCCGGAAAAAGCCTCGAAAGCTCCGGCCAACTTTGAACCAAGCTATCCCGACGTCCAAATCCTTCAAACGAAGCACTCCGAGCTTCCTTAGGACCTCACCAAGCTTCCTATAAGCTTCAAAATCCCAAAAACATCAAGCTTTACGTGTGCATGAACAGTGCACACGCACAGTGAAATTGAAATCCATGTTTTCCGAAGTGAAACTCACCTGAAATTGGTACCATCGTGTTCGTGTGGTCCTCAGGAGTACGATGGTGGTCTTAGATCCTTCGTTGGTATAGTTTTAGGGTGGTTTGTGGGTGGTCTGTGTGAGTTCGAAGGAGAGAGAGAGAGAGAGAACTCTGAGATTTGTGAGGGAGGAGAGAGAAAGACAAGATGCAGAAATGGGGGAGAGATTTGAGGAATGTGGGATCCTACCCAATCCCCAAATCATCAAGTTACAACATATTTTACGCCCCTTAGTCCCGTTTAAGGGCATTTTCATAACTTCACGTCCTCGAAATTAAAATTCCGGGACGGGTTGTGACAACCTTCCCTCCTTATAGAATTTCGTCCCCGAAATTCCAACAACCAACTAAATCATCTAAACTCATACAATAGCTTCGGATAAATCTCTCTCATCCGATTCTCCTTCTCCCACGTAATTTCTTCCACTGAATGCTTTCTTCACAAATTCTTTACCAATTACACTGTCTTAATTCTCAATACATTCTTTTTCCCATCCAAAGTCGTCCTTGATTCCTCAACCAGTCTAATCCGGATTAATTCTCAATAGTTGCACCGGAACTCCATGTGACGAATCTGCCACCTAGTGACAACGCATCGAAATATAATACATTATGCACCTTAGCCAATTCTGAAGACATCACCACTTGTATACAACTTCACCTACTCTTCGATGATCACATAAAGTCCGAGGTACTTAGGACTTAATTTGCTTTCCTTTTCAAGCCGAATCATACTTTTCTAAAGTGAAAACTTCAAAATTATAAGATCATCTACGTTAAACACTCGATTAATGACATGTTCAACTATTAATCTCTTTTGCCATTCTTGGCTACTCTCAGGTTAAACTTAATCACCTGAATACTTTGAGAAGACTCATCCATAGTTTCAGGGCCTACCAAAACTCTTTCGTGATCGAATCTTTTATATCCAGAAGCATTTCTTCCACAAATCAGCCAAAAATCGACATATTTCATAGTCCTTATGGCGTTACATCGGAAACTGCGCAACCAACATACTTAAGAAACTTAGCAGTTCCGTAACCCAAATCTCTTCTCCATAAAACATATAAATACTGTTGCATTGTGGTTGTTACTCAACACTGGAGTAAATGTACTAACTTGGTACATTGATCAACTATCACTTCAAGTTCAATCATAACTATCCTATTCTCGAACTCAACAATCTTTCTTTTTCCCTTCTTTCTTTGTCTTGGTTAATTCTTAATTTTCTTAATTAACCATTTGAGTCTTGAGTACGACCTTACTAAAAAGACTTAACTTGAAAATTAGCAATTACAACTTCCTCTCAATCTTCCATTCTCAACTTTACTTCAGTTGATTTCCAATCCACAAGAAGACAATCTTGGCAAGCGTGCCAGACATTAACTCTTACCACAGTCTTTTCACCAAGTGCATCAGCTAGAACAATTTTACGATTTCCCTGGTCGTACAATCATGTTCATTAAACAATTCAATCCACCTTCGCTGCCTCATATCAAAATCCTTCCAAGTAATGGATATTAGAGACTTTTTGGATTCGTAAAAATCTTGCATTCTTACCAAATATAATGTCTTCATGACTTCGCAACAAGAATGGTAATCATGACTTCCAAATCACCAGTAGGGTAATTCATTTCATGAGGTTCCTTTTGTCGTGAAATGTATGTAATCACCCTAACATTTACATCAAAATGCATCCAATACCATTTAAGAAACATCACTAAAAATTTATGATTACCACCATTCTCTGGGAATACTAAAATACGTGCATGAGTGAGGAAATACTTCAACTGTTGAAACCTTTACTCATAATTATCATCCCGCTCAAACTTAACCTCTTTTCTTGTCAATGGCAAGGCAATGACTGAAAAATCTTTCACGAACCGTCCATGATAGCTTGTTAAGCTAGGATAACTCTGAATCCCAATCACGATTCGTGGTTGTTCTAAATTCTCAATTTCTGCTACCTTTTAAGAATTCACTTGAATACCTGAAGCAGATATAATAAATCTTAGAATGCCTCTTGATTCATTTAACTTTAGCATTTGCTAAACTTAGTAGACAACCAACGTTCTCACAATCTTTACTTCACCGACTTAATATGTTTACATGCTCTGCTCTGGCCCAGAATGTACCAGAATATCGTCCATGAAAATGATAACAATTATCAAGGCATTCCTGGAATACTTCATCCATCAACTTCATAAAGTAGTAGATGCATTCGTCACTCCGAATGGCATCACCAAAACTTGAAATGACCTTAACGAGTCTTGAAAGTTATCATAAGGACATCCTCACCGATAATCTTCAACTAATAATATCCAGACCTCAAGTCAATCTTAGAAAATATACAAATACCTCTGAGCTGATTCATTAAACATCAGTACACCATCATGGATAACGGTTCTCAATCGTTACCCAATTCCATGGTCTATAATCAATGGATAGTCTTTAAGGTCCATTTTCTTTTTCACCAACGAAATGGGCTCCTCAAAAGTGTTGTATTAGGTTGAATGAAACTTTTATCAACCAATTCTTTCAACTAAATTTCCAATTTTCTTAACTCATCATGAACTAATCTCTAACATAAAATTTTATACCTGGAAACAAATCGATATTGATCTTCACATTTCTGCCTAAAGGCAATCCAGGTAAACTCTCAGGGAAAACGTCAGGTAAATGTTTGACTCTTCCCACTTCTTCCACAGTACTAGAAGTGATATTATTTAGTACCACATGAGATAAGTATCCTTGGCAGCCTTTTGATAATAATCTCTTTGCTCTCACAGCATAAATAACGGCCTGCCTCACTCCACTTTACATATTTACAAAAGTAATCTCTAGTCATCCAGACCGATGGAAAATAACTAGTTTCCCGAAAATAAAGTATATACTCATATACGTAATATATCTCAAATTATGCTAGACAATATGAATGTATGTCATGCCAAGTATCATAACAGAATGCTCATCATCTCTATGTGAATATGATGGAATAACATATAATCAATTCAACATTCGGCTATAAACATAGTTCATACTCTTTCATTCTAATCAACTCATCATATCATGTATATTTTGCACACATTCAGTACCACCTCGCGTGGTCTGCAACTCATCACTGTATATAACATAATATGCTCTAGAATAACATCGAAATCCACAATCTAATGGAACAAAAGTAGCTGGCAACAATACATACTCTACTATTACTGAGCACTCTGAATAAGTACGATACTAACATAGGATAACCTACCAGTTTACTTGCTTAACGAATCCACGAATAAATTATTAATATTACGGTCTGCAGCCCGCAATACTGATAAATCATCGTTGTCTCGATAAGTAAGCAACAACTCTCGAGGGTGTAATATTACTATTTTACCACTCATTGGGAAATACATACACACGTCTCAACCGCGTTTAATTACTACTTTCTAGGCAATATCATTAATAACGTAAAATTTCTACATTAATAACAAATAGACTCTAGCTAAGTCATTAAGAATAATTATCGTACTACTAATCAAATCCGAATAATTCTGAGTATCTTGCAGTGACGTGTGGTTAACACATCCCTGGGCTTGTTGTCGTCTCCCACAACCTCTATTAGTGTAAATACTTCGCTCATATACACCACGGCTTAACTGACCATAATTAATAGATCCAGGAACTTGCTGGATCGGCGCTAGTTGTGGCAAAGAAGACTGCTAGGGCTTCTGTTGGCTTTGGACAAAATTTGCAGTTCTATGTCCCATCTATCCACTTGTAAAGCGTCCACTGCTTTCTCGCCTACATTCTCAAAGGTGTCCATTATTGTACCTACAGCACAAAGGTACATTTCCTTTACCAAAATCACCTTGTCTCTGAGATCTGGGATTGCCAATACATCTATCACTTCGCCTCTGGTCAATGACATTAAAACCTTTGCCAAAAGAACTAGAATTAGCTTCACTTCTTTTGAAGTTCCGAATCTTTCGAGGTTCTCGAGATGACTGGCCTTTATCCTTGTCATCATTCCTCTAATTCCCATTCTTTTATTCTTCTTCATCATTATCGCTGGACATAATCTCAGAGTCCTTAATTCTTAATAAAATCTCGTAAAACTCCTTGTAATAAGTACAGTAGGTAGTGGTCGCCAAAGAACGCCACTTCTTCTTATTACACAGCCTAAAACGACGAGACATCTTTGCCGGATTATCAACAACGTCCGGATGGTAATAAGGCAAGTCCGTAAACTTTCTATAATACTTATTCGCCGTCATCTTTCCTTGTCTCAAATCGCAAGCTCTTGCTTATTATCATCCATATATGCCGGAGGAATAATTCTTTTCTTTAAACAAGTCCTTAAACAATTCTCAATCGGCCGTTTCCTCCGGTGACAACGAATTATACTCCTGTTTCCACCAGGATACAAGTTCATAACTCAAACCAGTTAGTCGTCTCAACCCTTCTGTCAAAAGGAAGATTCCTTTGACTTGCATAATCTAAAACATCTTTTCTAATTGGTTAATTCATCACTTTGCTCCCTCAGGTTCATCATTTCATAAGGTGATTCAAATTCAACTCATAACCCATCTTAAAATGTCCCTTTAGATAATATACTGAATCACCAAAATAATAGTTTCACCTAACAGCTAAATCAGGGAGATTAAGTTCCTCTAACTACGTGGTTTGCTACGAGGCGGTGTAGTTCTGACAGAATTCACTAGAACTTCTCAAGATGTCCAAGATTGAAACTAAGCTCTGATACCAACTGACACACCCCGTCCCGAAGGAGGGCATGCTGGCCGTCA